AATAATGGCCTGCCATTGTTGTCATGAGCTGGAGCAACTTTTTCAATTAGTTAATTTATTTTTCCACTCATTGGTAGCAGAGTGGTTGCTAGAGCAACAGTTGATGTTTAGTACAAATCACCATTAGAATTTAAACAGTGAACACATTAGAAGTGGGGCAAAAATAGCCTTGGAAATTCGTACCTTACAGGCATTATCTCACAAGAGAAACAATGGCATAAATATATTTAATGCATACAAGGGTCCTCTATAGTTTTAAAATATTCAGGAATTAAATTATGTGAAGAGGAAGTGGTCCACTTAGACTAATTAGACTTCTGGATGGATACAAAGATGAAATAAAATGAAGTTCTATTCAATAAAATTCTAACCATCTATTGCAGATATCACTGTATTGGAGAAAAAAACTCTCCTTCATTGAAAAAAATTACTACATTTACATTCCTTCAAGTAAATATTGCCTGAAAACAAAAACAAAATTCAAGTGCACATTCCCATATAGGGACAGGCATTGGAATTAAGTTATAGTTGTATTTCAAGCCACTATTAACCACTTGGTATTGTCAATCAAACTGTAGACAGGAACCAACAGTGACAATGGAAATCAGATATGCAGCAGTAATGGGGTATTGGAAAAGCCTCGGGCAGACTGAAATAGCAAACAAGATTTTTTAAAAAAGACTCCAGCCAATTTTTACTAAGATTTAAAGGACAGAACTTTTAAATTCCTTGACAAATTGAGAGCTCTCTTTGACTCTTGCATTTGACAGGTCCTCTTGACAGTTTAGTTTGACACTTTTGACAGTTGCTTCTGTCAGATCCATTGACAGTTCCAATGAGCTTGACATATAATTATTCTATCCATTTCAAATGCACATTCATGCCTGTTCTTTTAACAATCCTAAAAAGGTCTCTGCCTCCCCACAAAGGACAAATAACACCACCAATGTCATCTGATCTCCAGAGATGTCCCAGAAACACATCCAAGAGGTACCTGGGCTATCCAAGAAGTGTATGAAGTTCACACTTGCCCTTACCAGGTCTACTTGTAACACTTCGAGTTTCACACCCCTGGGCTATCAAAATATGACTTGTGTTGACCCACCCAATGGCCAAAGTGGCCATGAACTGTGTAAGCACAATTCACAACCTGATCCCATTCCTGCCCCTGCAAAAATGAGAAGAGCTATGTTTGGGGATGGAAGTAGCAATTTCCAAGATTATCCACTAGTTTTGTTACAATGAAGAGGATGATGAAAACTCAGACCTCGGTTGTAAAGAAAAAGGAGAATTGATAGATTATGAGAGTGGGCTAAAATTGGCAGAAGGGAACAATTTGGGAAAATATGAACTTGTCCACTTTGGCAGGAAAAATAGAAAACAGCACATTACATAAATGGATAGGGATTTCAGAACTCGATGATACAATGGGAATTGGGTGTCTTTGTGGAAGAATGACAAAAAGTTGGTATGCACGAACAGTAAGCGATTGGGAAGACTAATGGAATATTGCTGTTTATTGCAAGGTAAATGTAAGAGTACAGAAATTTAGCTCCATTTGTATAGGGCACTTGTGGAGCACTGTATATAGTTTTGCTCTCCATATAAGAATTGCATTGAAAATAGTTGAGAGAAGGTTCCCTCAACTGAATCCTGGGCTTGAAAGCAAAGCTGGCTGTTAATAATCTTCAAGATGCAATGCAGAAATTCACCAAAGCTCCTTTGGCAGCATCTTCCAACCAATGACCGCTTCCATCTTGAAGGACAAGAGCAGCAGATACACGGGGACACCACCACCTGCAAGATTCCCCCAAGCCACTTACTATCCTGAACTGGAAATATATTGTCATTCCTTCAGTGTCGCTGGATCAAAATTTTGGAAGTCCTTTATAACAACATTGTGGGTTTACCTATACCAGATGGACTGCAGCAGTTCAAGAAGGCAGCATACCACTACCATCTCAAGGGGGCAATAAATGTTGGCCCCACTGGTGACACTCACATCCCATGAATTAATCAAAAAAAATTCTCATTCAGTTTCTCCCTCCCTTCGTAATTAATGATTTAGCATTTGCAAATTTCCAGTCCAAAGATAATATATCTGAATCTAGAGAACCTTAGGAATTATAACCACCATGACTGCAATTTTCATATATATTTGTTTCACTGTCCTGGGGTAGAAATTCATAGGTCCTAGAGATTTGTTCTTTTAAAAATAGATCACAGTATTTTGTCCAGTATTCATTTTAGAAAAGAAAACAAAAAGCAATCTGTTTGGAGATGTTATTACACACCTCTGGAGCAGGTGGGACTTGAGACCTGGCCACTTGGCTTAGAGGTAGGAACCTACCACTGTGTCACAAGAGCCCCCTCATTTTGTAGACTTATTTCAAACCCAATAAGTTCCTTCACCTGTCTGTAATGACTGCAATATATCCTTTAAACAAAATTTGTGCTTCTAACTCAACAGTTTTATTTCCTATTTCTATGAGTATTTACATACTCTTATAAGAACTCTATAGAGTGGCTGTCTCCACCTTTCTCATATGCATCTTGACAAAGGTAATAAATATAATGACAAATAAAAGCCAAAAGAACTGCGGATGCTGTAAATCAGGAACAAAAACAGAAGTTGCTGGAAAAGATCAGCTGGTCTGGCAGCATCTATGAAAAAAAATCAGAGTTAACGTTTTGGGGAAGGGTGACCGGACCCAAAAACTTAACTGATTTTTCTTCACAGATGCTGCCAGACCTGCTGAGCTTTTCCAGCAACTTCTGTTTTTGTTCTGAATATAACGACACCCATGATTGTCTTCGTCTTATTTGATATTTGATGCATACTTCATCCGGATCAATTTTATTACTTTTCAAAATCAGATAATAAAGTCTTTACGATACACAACACAAACGCTGACATTTCGATTATCCACTCGCCTGATTATCCATCAAAATTTTCAGAGAAAAGACTTCCAACACATTGTCAGTTTACAAAGCCCATTAACATCAACTTCTCTTGCTAAAACTAAGAAGCCAACAAGCTTGAATTCATTCTACGTAACTTGGATTCTACTTACCTTTTTGCTGGAACTCAATCTTGCTGTACTGTATACAGAGGACCGAGATGCAGGCGTCAATGATCTGACAAGATTCCATTATAGGCAGAGAATGAGATATTGCTCTGTGCTGATGACACCTAGTGGCAAAATGCCAGTACTTCACACCATTTATTTTACCTATATAATAATAGCTTTTTAAAAAAATAGCTGTCTATTTCCTCACCTCTTCCTCTTTGCTCTTTACTGCTGTTACAAATGAACATACAAAACAGGAGCAGAAGTAGTGTAAAGACTTTTTAAGAAAGTTTTGATGTATTTTTGATTATGAACTGAAATGACAAAAGAACTGTTTTAAATGTAAGGATTGCTGGAGGATTGTTGCATGTTTTGGATGCAAGTAACCTGACATTTATTGTAAATACTGGGATCACCAGTAGTGGATTTCACAAGTTTCAAAATCTCCCGTCCCCCTACCGCATCCCAAAACCAGTCCAGCTCGTCCCAGCCTCCCTAACCTTTCTTCCTCCCACCTATCCCCTCCTCCCACCTCAAGCCGCACCCCCATCTCCTACCTACTAACCTCATCCCGCCCCCTTGACCTGTCCGTCCTCCCTGCACTGACCTATCCCCTCCCTAACTCCCCACCTACACTCACCTTTACTGGCTCCATCCCCGTCTCTTCGACCTGTTTGTTTCCTCTCCACCTATCTTCTCCTCTATCCATCTTCTATTCGCCTCCCACTCTCTCCCCATTTATTTCAGAACCCCCTTCCCCTCCTCCTTTTCTGATGAAGGGTCTAGGCCCGAAACGTCAGCCTTTCTGCTCCTATGATGCTGCTTGGCCTGCTGTGTTCATCCAGCCCTGCACCTTGTTGTCTCACCAGTAGTGGAAGTCTAGTTTCCAAATGAGCTGGAGTTAAGCTACAAATAGAGCACTGGTTGCCAGAAAGTAGCTGATTGATCAATGAACTAGTGATCAGTGATCACTGACAGAGGCTTTCTGCCTGCCAACAACTATGTGATTGGTTACCAGGTGGCTGAACGGCTTGGGATTGTGAACAAGATGGTGAAAAACATTCAGGCCTCCATCAGAACAGGAGGTCTCTCTATTCTCTGTAGTAAAAGCTACATTAAACCCAAGGATAACCAGTTTATTTTTCCTCTAGGAGTTGCTGTAAGCCATAACTTTTAATTATTAAGTCAGAGACCTTTCATAAGTGTGACCTGACGCTTGTGCTTCCTACAAATTAGTGAAAACATCTGGAGAAGGAAGACCACAGAACTGCTTTCCCAGTTTTCCCTCACATCAATAACACCAACTATTTTTCTATTAAAAAAAGCAAAAGAACTGTCAATGCTGGAAATCTGAAATAAAACAGAAATTGCTATAAACTTTCAGCAGGTCTGGCAGCAACTGTGGAAACAAAGCAGAGTCAATATTTCAGATCCAGTGACCTTTCTTCAGAATGGTTTTCTAGCCTTTCGTGGTTTCCAGCTCAGCCTGTCAGCAGTACATTTAATGGTGGATGCAGGCTAAAATCATTTAAAGAAGGAAACAATATAAAGTTGAGATAACAAGGTGTAAAGCTGTATGAATACAGCAGGCCAAGCAGCATCAGAGGAGCAGGAAGGCTGACGTTTCGGGGCTAGACCTTTCTTCACAAATAAATTCTCAGATTCTCCAGCATCAGTAGTTCCTACTATCCGGGTACTAAACTCACTACCAATCAGAGCCTGAAAGCCTAACCAATCAGAACACTCTAACTTTAACCAATAAAAGCACAGAAATGTTAACCAATCAGAGCACTGAAACGCCAACCAATCAGAATATTTAAACCTCAACCAATCAAGGCACGGAATGCCAACCAATCAGGGCAGTATGTAAAAGAAACGAGAGCACTGCCAATAAGAAAAAAAGAACAGAAATTTATAGAGAAACCGGATGGGTCTGGCAGCATCTGTGGGGAGTGAAACAGAGTTAATGTTTCGGCGTCAGTGATCCTTGTCGAGAAATCAGAGCAGAGAAATGCAGTCAATGAACTCCCCGCCCCATTGGCCGCCGTGACGCGCCGTTGTGACGTCAGCGGGAACGTGTGGGGTCAAATCCGTCGACAACAAGTGACTTATCGACAGCAACATGGCGGTGTCTGGATGTCGCCGATTTTTTATTACCCCGTGTGTCCTATTAAAGCGGTTATGTCACCCAGTATCTTCCAGGATCAGGGACCCGAGGATTTCCCCGTGCGGAAACCAAGGGAGTGACTGGCTGTTTTCACGTGGGAGTCTTGATGCGAGCAGTGGTGAGATGTCGGGCCGACGTTTGCTGAGCACTAGCACCCGATTACAGAGGTGAGAGAGGCCGGAGCAACGGCACTACAGCGCTGACGTGGGTCTCGGTAATGTTTGAGCAGAGAGGAGATATGGTAACTCTGGAGATTATTGTGTAATGTGCAACAAAGAAGCGTTAATCTTTTAATTATTTGCAGATCTCCTATCATGTTGCTGTTGTGAGCTGGAGATTTGTAAATATTGGGGGGGTGGAATTATGTCAAAGTTCTGGTGATGCTGGTGTTGTATTAGGGTAGACAAAATCAGAAGTCACACGACACCAGGTTATAGTCCAACAGGTTTATTAATATGCTATATACCTGTTGTCGTGTGACTTCTGATTTATTGTCAAAGTTAGTAGCTATGTTGACATCCCAGTGAACGATTAGTTGTCACACTAAATTCTTCTTGCCTCAGTTGGACATAAATATCACAAGGCTCTATTCGAAGAGCAAAGGACTACTTCTCCAATATTTATTCGTCCACAAAAGGTCATTAGAGCATTATCTGGCTGTTGCTGTTAATATTAATTTGACCTTGCTGTATGTATTGGTGGCTAACACTGTTCCCCATATCGAAACAACCAATTGTATTGTTGAGTGCTTTTGGACACAGAGGTGATGCATTGTGGAAATATAATCTAGTTATGATTTAGAGTTGAGATAGAGTTTTGTACTTTGACATTGCTTCCTTTGCAGTATAAGTATAACTTAATCAGGAACTGTTCTGGGAACTGGCATACAGTATTTGAAGGTTGTATTAAGATATGAAGAGGTCCAAATGTTTTATTAAGTTATTAGGTGTGAATAAAAGAATTTTGCATAATTTAGAATAATTTGTTGTTTGGTCATTTTAAAATTTGAATCTTGCTGAAAAGTAGGACATGTCACTGAATTTGCCTGGAATTTTTCAATGCAAATACACAATTGCCAAACTTCAAATGTTAACAATTTGTACTACAGGAGAAAAGGTTGCTGATCAGTTGGTAATTTGACTCTGAAAGTATTGCTTCATTTTAAGATCAGTGAAATTAGAAAAGCAACTCACTTGCTCTTGCTAGAAGCAGTACACGTTCATAAGCAGGGAATTGAATTGAATTAGCATTAGTTTTGTTATCATGTACTCATTTGAGTACGGTGAAAAGTTTATAGGTTGCCAATTATAATTCCATCTTGGGTATAAAGATACCTTGGTACATCTTCTTCAATTACAAGATTAGTTACACTGTAACAATGTCACCAACACAGTGCTATCTTCGATACAGAATACCTAGGTACAATCCTTTTAGTTACAGAATCGAGAAATGAAGAAAAAGAAGTTACATTACAGCTATATATAGTATAACCATAGGTCAGAAAAACAAGAAGCAAAGTTTAAAAAGACAAACATCACAGTCTCTCTCCAAGGGCTGTTTGCAGCAGACCAGTGCATGGCGCCTCCACATGGTCTGACTGCTGGCTGCTGTCTCGCTCTCGCACCGGGCCGCTGCCCCCACTCCCATTCCAGGCACACTGGTCACTGGCGTCCCTGCTCCGAGCCGCTGACCCCACTTCGGAGATGGAGAGTCGGTGGTCGGGTGTCCAAGGCTGAGAGTCTAGGAAGACAGAAGAGGAGAAGAAAAACCACAGAGGGGAAGAAAATCTACAGAATGGACAAGCACAAGCTGGAACGTCGTACTCCTCCACCACCTTACTGGAAAGACCAGACTGATTCTTTTTGTTTGCAGAGAACATGTTCAAAGTTTGCAAGACAACAAGGTGCAGGGCTGGATGAACACAGCAGGCCAAGCAGCATCATAGGAGCAGAGAGGCTGACGTTTCGGGCCTAGACCCTTGCACCTTTTTGTTTCCAATCGTTCACGTTTGTTGTGAACGTCACCACCAGGTGGAATCTTGAGTGCACACAGCATCAGAGTGCACCATTACTGCAGAGCAGTGTCTGCAGCTACTTGTCACAAAAGCAGTGCTGCATGGAACAAAACAGATGGCATGCAGGACCAACTGGCGCTGCCACCTCCACCCCTGGCTGAGACTAAGTTGGTGCCAGAAGTCAGGAGGGAGCATGAGGGAAAGTGGCTGAGGCCAAAAAGGAACTTTTTTAAGGAAAAAGGCAATTGAAGGATGAGCAAGCTGTGGCTCTGAGCACACAGGACATGGTGACAATCACAACTCATGCAGTGATGGACTCTGAAGCCTATTGTGGCTGGCTAACATAATTGGCTCCATCAAAGTTCTGCTGAGGGAATATGAGCTGCTAGGGGCTATTTCAGAAAGCAGAACTAAAAAGATGATCTCTGAATTACTGCTTGAGACAGAAGCAAATTGACACAGTCAAAAAGATTTAAAGAAGTAAATGCGTGGCTCAAAGATTGGAGAAACTGGTTTGAATTCATGGACATTGGCACTACTACTTGCAAATATGGGATCTGTTCTGATGTTATAGGCTCCATTTGAATCGTGCTGGGACCAGAGTCCTGGCAAATTGCATAACTAGGGCTGTAGACAGGGTTAAAACTAAATAGTGGAGGAATGGGTTTAGTTCATGATAGGATTCCTACAGTGTGGAAACAGGCCATTTGGCCCATTGAGTCCATGCCAACCCTCTGAAGAGCATCTCACCCAGTCCCAATCCCCCATCCTATCCCTGTAACCCAGTATTTCCCAGTATAATCCAAATAGCCTGTACGTCCCTGGACACTATGGGTAATTTAGCGTAGCCAATTCATTTAACCTAGACATCTCTGGGAGGAAACCCACGCCGATGCAGGGAAAATGTGCAGACTCCACACAGACAATTGCCTGAGGTAGAATTGTACCCAGGTCCCTGGCGCTGAGAGGCAGCAGTGCTTAACCACTGAACCAATGCGGGGGAAAATTATAAAATCAAAGATAAAGGAGAAGGCTATTACTAGAAAACAGAAGGGAACAGAACGTGTGAATGTCGTATTGCACCAAGGATCAAAAGAAGTGCAGGGAAATCTGATAATAGAAATAGAGCTTTGTATCTTAATGCACAAAGCACTTGGAATAAGGTAGACAAACTGGTGTGAATCGAGGTAAATTAATACGATCTCGCCGCCATTACAGAAACATGATTACTCTGAGAACAAAGCTGGGAACTTAACATTCAGGGACATTGCCATCCCAAAAGTCTTTCCAAAAAGTCCAAAGGTGATGGGGTAGCAATTTAAAAGATGAAATGACAGTTGTGAAAGGCAATCTCGGCTTGGATGATGTAGACTCCATTTGGTGAAAGTTTTGAAAAAACACAGCAAGAGAAAGAAGGCATTGGTAGGAGTTGAATGCAGACCCCCACCCAAAAAAGTAGCCACTCTCTAGGAAAAGCTAGAAGTCCACAAGTAGCATTCAAAAAGAATAGAGCGATAATTGTGGATGTCTTTAAGCTTAATGTTGGTTGGGTTAATAAATTGGAAAGGTTAGCTACATCAGCAAATTCATATGCATTAGGGATAGTTTCCCACAGCAATGTATCATGGAGCCTCTTCAGGTCACCTGCCGAGACCTGGATGGTGGCTGCTGGCGCTGTCAGTCCTGGTATGGGTGGATTTAAGTGTAATGTTATGGGCACCGTCGCTTATGTTCCAGCCTGGGGGATTTGGCTCCAGGATGCCTGATCCTGTGGTCCCGGTTCTTCTTTACCACCTTCTTTTGCCCAACAATCCTTCCTAGAGTGGCCTGACCTTTTTGCAATTTAAACATTTACTCCTCTCTCCTTCCCTACATTCCTTGGCCATGTGACCTTTCCTGCTGCGGTTGTAACGTTCCAGACCTGTTTTTCTTTTGAGTTGTGAAGTCTTTGTACAGAGACCTGCGGGACAATGTCCTTGTGCATATCACCACCTGCAAGCTGCTTACCATCCTGACTTGGGGAAAAAAGTTTTTTTTCAGTATCACTGGGTCAGAATCCTGGAACTGAATGGATTGCGACTCTAAAGAAAGTAGTACTCTATCATCATGTCGACGGTAGATGATAATACTGACCGCGTCCTATGAACTAATATAAAAATTTAAGTTGAGGTAGATAGGTACTTGATAACTGGAAGAATGAAAGATTTATGGGGGAAGTGGACCTGAGATGTCAGATCACCCATGAGCCTGTTGAGTGGCAGAACAGGTTTGAGAAGCTGAACAGCCTACTCCTGTTTCTCATTCTAATAGCATTGTGTACCTGTACCATTTGAATTACAGCAGTTCAAGAAGGCTGCTCATTGCCAGCTTCTAAAGTGCAATTAGAAATGCAGAATTTTTCTACTAGTGTTGCCCAGATCCTGTAAAAGAATAGGCATGTTCCCTCCTGCTATTCAAACGTTTCAAATTGTTTATTAATCCCTTGTTGTACATTGTCAGTTGCCAACAAGTGAATGAAAGCAGACAAAAAGATTGTGTGCTGACATATTTGATAGCAGGACTGTACATTACCTTTTTTTTTGTTTATGATGCATACATGTTGTCAGAGCTTTAACATCTTAAGTCTGTATTTCCCATATATTTGCCATTACAATTTCTTCTGTGTTTTCACTAATGTCTTTATCGTTCTAAAAGAATTAAAAGGAATATGGGTCAGCCTTGATTTAGTGTTGCCTCTAACTTCCAGAATGTTTAAAGGTTCAATTCTTCTTGATTGTGTTCTGGATGAGATCTTATGCACATCAGGTGATGAATGTTAAATATCTAATGGCTTTGTTTGTTTGAAGAATAGTAATGTGCTAGCATTATTTATCCCTCCACCAGTCCCCCAAGGTTATCTGTTCATCTATTTTTGGGCAAGTTTCCACAAATCAAAACAATGTAAATTGACTGCCATGTATCCAAGCCTCACTTCTATTTTTCAGTCAGCTGATGGGCAACTGTATGGTTAGCAGACTGATTTCTTTTGGCTCTACCACTGAGCTTAGTTAGAATCTTTTTTTTTTCTTGAGAGAACATGGACAAGCAAGTATTAATGTTTCCGAGAGACAGTAAGAACTGCTGATGCTGGAGTCAGAGATAACACCGTGTGGAGCTGGAGGAACACAGCAAGCGAGGCAGCATCAAAGGAGCAGGAAAGCTGACATTTTGGGTCGGGACCCTTCTTTTTCTGAAGGGTGCCAACCTGAAACATCAGCTTTCCTGCTCTTTTGCTGCCTGGCCTGTTGTGTTCCTCCAGCTCCACTCTGTTATTTAATGCTTCCTAGTCCCACAAATTTAATAAAACCAACTCAATATCGCAGTACGCAGCTTTCCCTATACAGACTACTGCTTGGGTTGGTGACTCATGCTGCAACTCTCGCCCATTGCTGCTTTACAATAGTGTCTGGCAACTAACTGGGATATTGGAATTATCTCCAGTATGTAATAAATGTGTAGTTGCATGTATGACCTATTAAGAAACTTCAAACTAATGGAAGTAGTGGAAATAGGCTGGTAAATACATGTCTTTTATTTTCAAGCTGCTACCATTCCAGCCACATCAAGTGGAAGGAGTTAATTTCATTCTGGATTCATTAGGAGAACATAGTCCAGTCAGAAACCTGGAAGGGTTTGCCAAGTAGTCATTAGTTGTGTGTGCTTTTATGGCATGTCAGAATGTCTTTCTCCCACAGGGTATTGCAGCAAAATCTGTTCTTTGCCTTATCAAACATCTAAAGATGCTGTTCCTATAAGGATTGCTGGATCACCAGGAGTGACAAGCCAGGGGATTTTTTTTTTTTTTTTTTTTGTTCCTTCCCTGTTCTGTTCTGTGTAGCATTCAGCAATGAAGCTCTTTGTAACTGGTGTTACTGAATAGTTAAACAGAAATGTTCTTTTAAAACTGCTTCAGGATATAAAATTTGTAATTCTGTGAAGGTTTTATGATTTGTTGGTAAAAGTTATCTTGGTCTTTATTTTCAGCACTGGAATTGTTCAAAATATTGTCTTATTTTGGTTTAACTATCTTCATAATCATGAAAACCTCTCCTATAATATGATACAAATTCTTTTCACTTTAACAAACATATGAAAATCATTTATTTTTACTGGCAGAAAGTGAACTTATTTATTCAACTTCAGCCTGCAAAATAAACTTACTTATCTTGTCTTCATTTTACAGTTCAAAAGATAAAGTATCTGTTGATTTTATTAACCGTGATGGAGAGAAACTTAAAGCAGAAGGAAATGAAGGGGATTCTCTTTTAGATGTTGTTGTTGATAATAACTTGGACATTGATGGTTTTGGTAAGTTTTTTTTTAAATTCACCAATATTATATAAACTATGATCTGAAAAACATAATTCCTATGCCATGACCCATGTTTAATCACCGCTTTCCAATCAACTGGAAAAAATAACTTTATTATAAAGGTTGGCAACATTTTTGTGAACTAAATGTTTTTTGTTTTCTTTGGAAAGCATATTTTGAACATATTCTCTGGAAAAAGTTGACAATTGAGGTGAATTCATAACCACCATACAATAGTTTGTACTTAGCTTGAAATTTAAGGTGAATAATTTTCTTTTTTTTAACATTTTAAAAGCAATATCCTGATTCTTTTTCTCTTGACTTAATTCAACTTCAGATGGGTGATATTTCAATTGAAGAGTATCTTTTGTGTTAAAATTGTATTTGTAACTACAGTTAGATTTTTCAGTAGAAAAAGACTTTTTGATTATAATTTTAAGCTGTTGGAACAAAAATAAATGTTGCTTATTTTTCTTGTACATATCCTTCTATTCCTACCGTGTAAACTTTGTAGTTTCATGTACACATGCTATTGTCAAAATGCACTATAATGCAAACTACCACATTAATACAATTTCAGCAACAGTACTTGTGTACAGACTTCCAAACTCAACATAGAGTTCAATACTTACAGATTGTAACCTCTATATACCAGCTATTGCTAATTATTTTCATGTAATTCCACATGCACCTCCTCTAGTCTCATCTTTTATCTTTTTGTCCCAGTATCTCTACTTTTGCTTTCTACCTTCATTCTTTTTATTTAATTTTCCAGCTTCAGATCTACCACAGAACCTCCAATTTCATTCTCTTCACCCATTCCTCTTTACCCTACCTTTTTGTATTTGCATATCTTTAACTTTTCTAATTTTGGGGGAAAAGAAAACGTTCATCAACCTGAAACATTGACTAAAAGGAAAAATTGCAGGTGCTAGAAACCTGAAACAAAAACAGAAAACACTGGAGAAAATTCAGCAGGTCTGGCACAAATTACAGGGTCACTGGACTCCATGTCAATTCTGTTTTTCTCTTTAAAATGCTGCCAGATCTGCTGAGTTTCTCCAGCACTTTGTTTTTGTTTCTGAAGCATTAACTTTTTCTCCCTGTAGATGCTGTTGGAATTGCTGAATAATTCCATAATTCTTTTTATGATGAATACTGATGTAAATTCCTCAATGTTTGAAATAGGTATAATTCTTATTAGGAAAGAATAATTTGTATGAGTAGTAGGCAGTATGTAATTGGATAGGTTTCTTGTGTTCTCCATTATCTTATTCAAATAATGTCATTTTTGTTCTCTGGCCTATATACAATGTCCAGAGAAATAAAGAGAAAATTGACACCCTCTAATTCTTGTAAAAATTCCTGAAAGGCACAGATGTCCCTCTGACTAACCCACTTCTGAATATACAGAATTCTATAACCCTGACTCAGGAGGTAACACTTGTTGAAGCTGTGTTTCTCAAAGCGTATCAGTCTTCAACCTGACAAGCACCACTCGCTGTTGTCAATGCCTTTTGAAGGTTACCATCTCCCTGAATTTTATTCTAGCAAATCATTACACTGTCTGCAGGAACATACGTTAAAATTGTTCAATCAACTGTGCACTGACACTGCGGAAGCAAACGGCTTCAACCGTCTCGTGGCCTAAAATTGAACACAAATTATATAATCAGCAGTTAAATGAATTTGTTCAAGGTTAACTTGGCCTTTCTGGGGTGTATTGTCTAGTCTTCATTTGATATTGATAACTGGAGATTAGGATAAACACCAAGAAAAACTAGTTTAAAGAGATAGCAAGGACTGCAGATGTTAGAGTCAGAGACAACACAGTGTGGAGCTGGAGGAACACAGCAGGCCAGGAAGCTTCGGAGGAGCAGGAAAGTTGACGTTTTGGGTCAGGACCCTTCTTCAGAAATGGGGAGGGGGAAGGGATCTGGGAAATAGAGAGGAGGGTTGGGGCTGGGGAAAGTAGGTCGGTGGGATGATGATAGATGAATGCTGGTAGGGAGTGGTGGGGATTGGTCAGTGGGATGGGTGGGGATTGGTCAGTGGGATGGGTGGGGCAGATAAGTGGGAAGAGGGACAGGTTGTGTTAGGTCAAAGAGGTGGGAATGAGAGGGAAGGTTGGACATGGGATGAGTCCAGGGGGCGGGGAGATTTTAAAACTGTAAAATCCACATTTAGGTCATCAGGCTGTAGACTCCCGAGGGGGAATATGAGTGTTGCTCCTACAGTTTGTGTGTGGTGTCATTGGCACTAGAGGCCCAGGATGGACATGTCACCCAGGAAGAGGGAGGGGGAGTTAAAATAGTTGGCGACCAGAAGATGTTGGTGTTTGTCATGTACAGATGCTGTACAACATGGTCCCCAAGTCTATGCTTGTACTCATTAATGTAGAGGAGGCTACATAGGGAGTGGGGATACAGTAGACCAAGTTGGTGGATGTTCGGATGAACCCCTGTCTGATATGAAAAGTTTGCTTTGGGCCTTGAATGGAGGTTGGGGGGCAGGTGTAAGAGCAGGTGTAGCACTTCCTACGGTTGCAGGGAAAAGTGCCGGATGTGGTGGGGTTAGTGGGGAGTGTGGAGCAGACACGGGAGTCGTAGAGTGAGCGGTCCCTACAAAAGGCAGATAGGGATGCGGGGAAATATCTCTTTTTTGGTTGTGGGGTCAGATTGTAGGTGGCAGAAGTGGTGGAGAATGATACACTGGATGCAGAGGCTGGTGGGGTGATATGCAAGGACAAAAGGGATTCTGTCTTTATTTTTGTTGGGGGAGGGGGTTTTAAGGCAGAAATGCAAAAGATGCAATTGAGGGCATTTTTGATCACTGGAGGCGGGATGTTGCGGTCTTTGAAATAGGAGGACATCTTGGATGTCCGGGAGTGGAACGCTCCATCTTGGGAGCAGCTGCAATGGAGACGGAGGAATTGGGAGTAGGGGATCACATTCTTGCAGGAGGGTGGGTGAGAGGAGGTGTAGTCCAGGTAGCTGTGGGAGTCGGTGGGCTTGAAATAGATGTCAGTTTCGAGGTGGTTGCCAGAGATGACGATGGAGACATCCAGGAAGGAGAGAGAGGTATCCGAGATGGTCCAAGTGAATTTGAGGTTGGGGTGAAAGGTGTTAGTAAAGTTGATGAACTGCTCAAGCTCCTCGAGGGAGCACAAGGCAGTGATGATACAGTCATCAATGTAGCAGAGAAAGAGGTGAGGGATAGTGCCAGTGTAACAGCAGAAAAGGAACTGTTCCACGTATCCTGTGAAGAGGCAGGCATAGCTTGGGCCCCTGTAGATGCCCGTGGCCGCCACCCCCTTAGTCTGTAGGAAGTGGGAGGAGCTAATGGAGAAGTTGTTCAGGGTAAGGACAAAATATCTCATCCTTGGTCTAGACTGCAGTAATTATCAAATCTGCTATTTAGGAAAATCCTGAAGTTCTTCAGTGATTGGGATATACTGTACCAGGATTATTTCCTATTTCTAGGTAAGAATACACTCACTTCTAAATACACCCTCTTAAATATGTAGTATTCCAAAATGCCACAATTTTTTGAAAGTGTTGCTGACTTTATCTTGCTTACAGATAAAGATTGGTCCCTATTAGATACAGAATGGTAGTTAATCTCACTGTATTGGTAGATTTGCATACATTAGGCTGCTACTGTCTATGGCATCAGAACAACAATGAGAAATCCGTGTTTTAACTCCAGGAGGTTCATGAACCATTGATTTAATATCACATTGTTCCTGCATTGGCAATCTTAGCATAGAGTGCCTGCGAGCATTTTCACTAGGACTCTGGATCCATACTGCTAATGCCAGACTGTATGCCTTGGTGCTCCATACCTCGTCTGATTTCAAATTAAGATAACCACAATGCCTCATGCGTACATTTATTTTGGAATTCCCCCACTTCAGAAAATTCCTTGCTTTTATGCATCGCAGGAAGGAATAGTTTCAAATGTCAAAACCTATATCTGGTGATGAGATGTAAATTTATAATAGCCCTTTTTGTCACGTGTGCAACTTGCGCTCAAGTCAAAGCTGCTGCAGCTACATTGCATTATTTTATGTAGATATGGTTTTGCCATCCAGCAGTGAAGCTTTGTTTTCTTTGGCTTGAAACTTTCCCAGACAATGGATTACTGATTATTGAGATGATGTTCAGCAATGGTTGAATCAAGGCTGTTGGAGCATACAGTTAGCTGAGAGAAATTTAACACCTTGGTACTTGGCAAATGTTCCCCAACTCAGCTTGCACTGCAACCAGTCACCACTTACTGTGAGCAATGTTTGCCCTAGTTGTATCCAGTTATGCCCTGATAATATAATTGTAATTTCTGGAATATGTTTTATAAATAAAACCCGAACCTCCACTTACAGTAAATACGTTCATAATATATTCCTGTTTGATTTAGACATCATGCATGCCTGTAGATGTTGGGAGAGAATAGCTTCCAAATAGTTTTCCACAGTTGAACAGACTGTAAAACCGCACTACCTAAGCTTATTCATGAACAGTAACCACTTTAGGTGAGACACCATTAGAATGGAATTCCACACGCAATTCAGAAACTGCGGCTAGGACAAGATGGTGTCTTCAGATGAAGACTTGAAAACTGAAAAAGTACTTTGTTGCATGTCTGAAAACAACGTGTCTTTTGTGGAGACTTAACTGGTCTCTTCTAGACTATTAGATTTTAAAAATTCCGTGTCTGTTCAGTAAACAGTAATTTAAGATGCCGTGAATACTAAATCTCTTCATTCCCGATTTTAAAACTTAAGGTGTAGGGAGGTTCCTATAAGCACAAGATTGAATTCAATCTAAATTATTTGCATGCCAGCTGTGGCGAGAGAAATTTACACTGCTAGATTAAATACAGGAATGTTGTCATAAAATTCTTTGGATCCCAGGCAAACCTTTATTTAGCACTGCTGATGGTCTGATAGTAAAGGATTTCTTAAGTTGATAGTCTCAATGTTTGCCACTAGGTGTTGC